AAGAGCTGATGCACACAGCACAATCGCAGCTCTATGAAGAGCTGTACTCTATTTAGCACATATTTGAGTGTCTACTTAGAGAAAAGGCAAACCAGCTACCATTCCTGAGCCTGAACACAGCCATGGTTTGTTAGGACCTTTAACATCAGCCACTTTCACCTAAGATTCAGATAATCTCAACTCTTTAACTTTCAAAGTCTTATTGTGCTAGCTTATTTTTATGTCTATGAGGCAACTTCACTTCTATAAGAACAGGATTGCTAGAGAGTAAGGAGAATTTATAAAGAATGATCAATTTGAAAACTGCTTGTTTCAAATATTGCCTGGCCCTCCAGACTGTATTGTCACCAATTTCATCTTAATGAATTGTTTCAGGGTTGAGAAATGAACTCTTCTTTCCAAGAGGGCAAAAAACCAACTCATACAGTCATTAGATCCCTGATAATAATTTTGTAGACCTTTTAAGGTAGAACCCCAAAGCCTTGCCATCCTACTGCCAAAGGAATACCCTGCCATGAATTTGGAAAGACCATCTGGACATTATCCAGACTTGAGCCCATATAATCAAACATATCCTATTCAAAAGTTGAAAACTGCCAAAGTTCAATGCTATGCTAGCACCCTGCCACGGTCCATTTCTTAGCTTATTTTTTCTATATGACTTTAACCTTGCACTATTGTTTCCATGGACATCCACACTGTGCTAGGTAGCATTCACTATGGAATTTCCACAACTGACGCACTTTGATGAATGTTTGATGCTGATTCCACAACACCTTACAAAACAAATAAAGGAGGTGAATATTCTCTCCATTTCACATACTTGGAAGCTTAGAAAAGATTCTTTATCTAACATTCAAAGCTATAAGATCAGAATCTTGTGACACCCATTCCAAGGAATTATTTTATCCATAATCCTACTCTGTACCTCAAGTGCAACCCAAAATTAAACGAGCTCCAAAGGTTGTAAAAGACATTATGGACAAGTTAAACTTGTTAAAAAAACAAATCTACCAACAATTAGGTGAAAATTTGTTTTTTAACAATCAAAGAATCAAAAAGCATCTCATTTTGTGAAAGTGAATTCCTTAATGATTATTTGCCTTGGATCCACAATAGAGTATTCTGGTGGTTTCTTATAAATCTGCTCAATCTTATCGAGTTTTTGATGTAGCAGCATACAGGTAGATCCCATTAAACTGTCTATTTTAAGACATCTTGAAGAAGCCAAGACTTCTGGCTGTATCCAAATGGCTAATGGACTCTACCATTAGTGACAGGCAATTAAATGCTGACACTGTGCCCAGGTAATATTCATGGTGACACGTCTGTTCCTCATACAGCTGGATGTGGTCTTTTCTATATGCTTAAAATACTTGAGAGATATCAGATTATTAAATCTGTAACAGATTTAAATTAAAATGTTTGGAATATCATACCAATAACTTAGATCTGGAATTGAGTGTCTAGAGTAAATGACAGCAGACAAGGGAAGATTATGATTAGTGAGAGGAGAGTGCATGGTAACATCCATCCCTCCACACCTTCAGCACAGACATGTTGTAGATCTTCAAAAATGAAATGAAGCACAAAGTCTGGGGCCAAGCCCTGACCTTGAGGGTACACTTCTGCTCATGAGAACCAGAATTGTATTATCCCTATGGAGAAATATCACTTGATTTGTTTTTTTCTTCATACACTTCCAAGAAGTCTCCAAATTGCATTGCACCGCTTGTACTGTGGACTACCAGAGGCAGCTTCTGAGCAGACTGTCATCAGGATAGGGTTCTTCTCCACAATGGGGTTGAGATCAGGACCAGCCATACTGCATTCAGGCCAGATCATGCCAAATACATGAAAGGCATGGATTTGGTGTGTAGGAGGGAGAGGGAGGAGGATCTGGGAGGAACATATGAACTGCCATCAACTGAGGATAGCAATGGGGAGACTTAGTCCTCATAGTTTCACATGGAGCATGGGGCTTTCAGAGAAAATAAAGGGTCCTGACTACGAATCTAAGGACTTGTTGGGAGGACTTGGGTCTTGGTAACTAGTGGCATCTCCTCCTGTCCTAGAATTCATTCCCTGAAAACAAAGTCTAAGCAATGTAAAAAAAGGCTGTAGTGAAGTTGTAGGGATGTGACTCACAAGAGACAGCCATGCTATGCATTATTATTTTTAAAAAATTATAGAAAGATCTTATTAAGAGAATGGAAGCCAGTTGTGGTTCACATCCCTAAAGCACACCCCCCCTGCCTAGCTCACCATAACCCTCTCAAAAATATCAGATTGTGAAGGGAAAGGGGTGGAACCCACAGAAATCAGAATCTCAGAAAAAGGGGTTTGAATTTACCATGTCATTTGACTCTTTCTAAAAAAAGAAAAAAGTTTGGAAATTGCTGCCCTAAAAATAATCAAGATTCTTCTCCCAGGTAAGTGTTTTTTAAAGGAAATTATACTATCAATATGTGATTGAGCATATTTCTATTCCCTCTAGATTTAATGTTTTCAGTCTGCAATATAAAAAGACACTAATGCTCAATTATGCTAGGAAGAGTCTCTCCTCCAATAATGCTGCATTTCTTGATGTTACATTCAAAAGGGAAATAGTAGTGCTTGGAAACTTAAATAAAAAAGATGAACAGAAGGAAAAATGACTGTCTGAAGATGTGCAGAAAATGCATTTAAAGAAGTCTGCATCAGCCAGCAGCCAATCTAGCCAGTTCATCTTTTAAAGAACAGAGACTTCAGTGTCAAGAGTTATACTTAAAATCAAGAGAGGAAGACTCCAACACAAACATTAATGGACAGTAAAGATCAAAAGATTCTTTCCCAGAATCACTGGTTCAAATTTCAACTTTCTATCTGGGTAAATTGATGCTATCTTTGTGGAGAATTTTTAAATGTATATAATATATCTTACCGCATCACTTTAATATGCTCCTGAAAATACAACCCCTAAGAGAAAACTAGTTCAAAAAGTTTCCTTTAAATTGACAATTAATGCCACATTTTACTGCAGCCCATTATTCCTACAAGATATCAAATGAATTGAATATATATAAAATCAATATATAAAATATACCAATTAAAATATCAAGTCAACAAAGGAAGCAAGCTTATATGAGTAGCAGGAATGATTTGAAGGTTAATAAATGCAGGCTATATTTAAAATGTAATGAACTGAAATCTCATAGCACTTAATATAGGAGAAAAGAAAGTGTGATGATCAGTGGAGAAGGGCTGCAATCGTCATTCTCGGAAAGCATGTTTTTCTTTCCATATAATTTTATTGACAACTTATTCTTAATAATTTAGACTAGATTTAAATATAAAACTATAAAAAAAACTATTAAAGTAAAGAGTATTTCAAAGCTCCTGGAAATATCACACACACACACACACACACACACACACACACACACACACACACACCAAGAAGATACATAGAAATCTCATGTTTACCCTTTCCATTTGGTGTGAACATGCTGTGGGATAATGCCTTTGTACACTGGTTTAATAAAACGCTGATTGACCAGTAGCCAGGCAGGAAGTATAGGTGGGGTGAGCAGACTGAAGGAATTCTGGGAAGAGGAAGGCTGAGTCAGGAATTGCCAGCCAGACACAGAGGAAGCAAGATGTGAAGGCAGAACTGAGAAAAGTTACCAAGCCACATGGCTAAACATAGATAAGAATTATAGGTTAATTTAAGTGTAAGAGCTAGTCAGTAATAAGCCTGAGCAAATGGCCAAGAGTTATAATTAATATTAAGCCTCTGTGTGATTATTTTATAAAAGCCTGCAGGACTGTGGGTGAGAGATTTGTCCTGACCACAGGCCAGGTGGGGCACAGGAAAAACTTACAACTACATGCACATCCACAGTAAATTATTCATCCACACATTGGTGTAATCAAATAGATCATGTGCTGTTCTCTGATTAGAAACTTTTGCACAGAAATCAGTGAGTATAGTATTGCCTAAAGTAGTAATGTCAAAATATTATTTCTTGTATCATATTGGTTATTTTGATGAAAAAGCAGTTATTCAGAATAAAAAGGAGTTACTTCAAAATAAAGAGTAGAGCTTTTCCAGAACAATTACTTGAGCTGTGTGAGCTGAGACTCACAAAGGAATATTCAAACCACTGAGGCTTCTTTCTTTTTTTTTTTTTTTTGTTTTTTTTGTTTGTTCTTTCAAGGATTTTATTTTTCAATTTTGTTATCATCAGTGCAATTATAATGGATGGGGAGATCCACAGAGGTCATGTGTACAGGTCAGAGGACAACTCTGGAGGCTCCTTTCTTTTCTTTTCCACCTTTACATAAATTCAGAGATCTAACACAGGTTCTCAGGGTTTCACTATCGGGCAGTAAACACCTTTACCCACTCTGCCCCCCACCCCCATGAGAGGAGATAAACCTATACAAATGCAATCAACCTACTAATTAAATTTTTAAAGGTCCCTAAAGGCATTTGAAAAATCCCTTGACCACCTTTCAAGTACTATCATCATGTGGTCAATTACATCAAAGGTTGCACCTTTCCTGAAGTTTGTCATAGCTCTACTGTATAGAAAACATTGTGATTGTCAGCTATGTAAATGATCAGAAAGCTATTATACAAGGCAGTGCTGTAGAACCTAAAAATCTAATTTTGAGTGCCCGTAGCCTCTACATGCAAATTCCTTTCTCCACCTTTAGTGAATAATCTGAAACTCAAACGTTTGTATAGATTAACAGTGGAAACAGATGTCAAGGTTCTCAGCTTTCCACCACTATTTGCCTGCCTAACACTGAGTCTTGAATTTAGGTGTTGGCTCCCTACTACCTATTCTCAGTAGTGGTCTCACTTTCAAGGCCTCTTCTCTGGATATGACCACACTTAACACACTAAAATCTAATGAATTATTTTTGCCTCACCCCGTAGCATTGGCAAATGACCTTTATCATGTCTTTAGTTCTGGATACCAATCATGTTTGGCACTTATTAAATATTAAAAAATATTTGCTGAATTAATGAATTTTAATCAAACTAGACAACACTTGACTACAGATATTGTAATCAAGCTTGCAACAAATGGTTGGTTATTTAAAATCGTTTAACATCATGCCGAAACAATAAACTAGAAATCTTAGCTGATTTCTACAATGCATTAGTCTTCATGTTCCTTTCCTGCTGCATACATAACACTACTAGACACTGGAACAATGCAGAATCATCTTTCAACATCTCATCTACCTTCAGTCACTACTGTGTCTGTAGACACAGCCAAAGGACAACTCCCAATAAACACTCTTCACTAAATGATATACCAATAATATTAGCACTATTTTAGCAAGATAAACTCCCTATGTATGTCTCTTTCTTCTTTCAAATGAAGTCTTTTTTCATAATAAGACTGAGTCTAAGCACTAGTTCATTTTCCTTTGATACAAAAGCATACCTTATGACAATAGTTTCTGTCAGTTTTCGTACATTACTAATTTGTGTTTCTTCCTTATCTCCTGACAAGTAAAATTACACATAAATTTTATTAAGATAACCATGTTGCTGGTTACTATATTCATTTAAAATTACATGAAAGTAGTTCCCTCTTATCTAAAGTTTCACCGTCTATGACCTGGCTTTTACAGTTTCAGTAATCTATGGCTAACCCACAATATCAAGTGACAAAGGGCCAGAAATTAACAATTCATACATCTTACACTGTATTCAATTCTGAACAGAAAAGTGAAATTTCACACCATTCCACTCTATCTCACCTGTGATACGAATCATCCACAATGTCTGTATGCATTACCCACTTACAGTAATCAGATTAACTGTCACAGCATCATAGTAGTTGTATTCAACTTAATATGGCAACAAAGCACAACCAAGAACATCAGCAGTATTTTAATTGTACCTTCTTATAACTGCTTTATTAGTATTGTTATTAATCTCTTACTATGCCTGTTATAAACTATTTGTCTAAGGTATGCACATAAAGAAAAAGCACAGGATACATTATAGTTTGGTATTATCCTGGGTTTTAGGTACTCACTGAGAGACTTAGAGAATATCTTCCCTATAGCTAACGGAAATTAATGTATTATATGAGTATGTGTATGTGTGTGTGTGTGTGTGTGTGTGTTGTGTGTGTGTTGTGTGTGTGTCTGACACCAGTAAAAAGTGACACATACATAAATGTTTCTATAATCAAATCAGAATATTGGTAGCATGGTATTCTTTAATTTGAAAATGTATGTATAAAACTATAAAACTATCATAAGATTTCTAATTTCTTCTCCTTCACAGTAAAAAGGTTTCAATTTTCTATGCCAATTTACTCATCATAAATTATTATTAAGACTACTAATAAATGAAACCTGAACTTTAAAAAATATAGGATGCATCTTGATTAGCAAAATTTGTACTAAACAAACGTTTAGTTACAGTATCTCAAGTGTAAAACCTTACATAGGTAAGCATCAAAACAAAGAAATGAGTGACTCAGTACTCAACTGTATTACAGATCTGAAAAAACAGACATTCAAGAAAACAGTAAGGCTCTTCAGTTGTAGTGCTGTGAATAGCAGCAAACCTTCAGACTGCAGTTAGACTCCAAAGAGAAAAAAAACTGTAGCTCATCCTCAGTCAGGTTAAGGAACTTGTCCATGGTTCGCATTTTTACTTTCTTAGTGTTTCAAGCAAATGATCAACTGTGACAAACCAGTAAGAATTTGGTTTGTAAATCAATTTTGATAAGAAGCCAAACTGTTTCACTGGTGCTATGACATGAAGGTGCAGATGAGAAATGGAACAGAATGGTGGCACATGGAAACCCATTCTCACATCTGTAAGGTCGGTGAAATTATTTCTCTCAAGAATGGCTTTTCCAACAGCTACCATGCTCTCAACCATTTCTACTTGATCTCGGTTTAGTTCCTTGCAATTTCTAATATGCTTCTTTGGCACCACAAGATAATGATGAAGTGCCGCTGGTTTGATATCTTCGAAGCAAACTAGGTCTTCATTCTCGCAGTTCAAGAGTTGAGTGTCGGGTTCCTGGCCCGCCGCCACGCGGCAGAACACGCAGGTACGGTCGTAGTCCCTGGACTCCGAGGTCCCAGGCGAGGCCAGGTCCTCAAGTCCTGCTTTGGAGGCTACCACAGAGGCAGGACTCGGCTCCCCCGCGAAGTCCTTCTCAGCCATGGCGGCCGGGTGGGCGACCTCAGGACCACTGGGGAAGGCCGGGATCGCGTGCGCCGCCGCCGCCCCTGCGGGGCCGACCCAGCGGCAGGAGGCTTCTTTCTTCAATGATGAAAAGAAACCTACAGAGTGGTGAAAACCAGCCTTGCTCCTGTGGTTCAGACCTTGCCATCACAACTTATCCTGTGTTTTACTGAATTGGCCCTTCAGGAGGAAGTCATATGTCTAGAGAGTCCAAGTGTGACGTATTAGTGACCCTTCCTCAGCCCTCTCACTTGGTGGACATGGGCACAGCGATGTCCTCCCCAAGACTTGCAGAAAGAGTCAATCGGCAACCATTGCTAGCTCTTCTTAAACGGAGACACAGATTAAAGCTTGGGTGAGATGATAAATGCTTCCTGCAGCATTTCTCCACGGGGAAATTAGGTTTCATTACCACAGTCTCCTGATCACAAGAGTCAAAAGGAATATACTATATGTGTTCAAGAACAGTTTCCCAGCATTGAGTGAAGATAGCATAGTAACTCAGTTTAACAGGAAGTTCACGTGTGTAAAGAAACAGATGCGGTCAAAGCACAGGGTCAGTGGAAACTTTATGCTTGAAAAATATCATGGCCAAATGGTTTCTTGTGTTATTTTGCTTTATATAAAATAAAATTCCAGAAAAAATGAAAGCAGCATATGCAAAAATTTAGAAACAATATGTAATAAACTGTGCTGTCGCTAAAGACAGACAGGTGTTGCTGTGTTTGTCTTTGACTTCTGTAGAATATAAAGGGCAGCCATTATTACTATATTGCTATTTAAAAATGAGAAAATCTAAAAGTTGTCTAAAGATACAGTCAAAATACCTCTCTGTTTCCAAGAAATACAGGTCTCTGGATTGAAAAGTCAGTTATTTTGATTACAAGTTTAAGCATTTTCAAGTGACCGTGAATTCTAAATGGGGAACTAAAACTAACATCAGAAAAACATATTCCCAATCACTACAATATTCAGTACTTATCAATTAAGAGACATGAGTGTCTTAGCAAATGCATTTTTGGTTCTAACCATTTGATTACAGGACACAAAAACATAGTAATATTTTGTACTGTGAATTAGTCCTTCATATTATGCTATGCTAAAGAAAGGTACATTTTTCCCAAGTGGAAAAGTCATTTTTGTGCTCTAAGGAGAATCTTTGCTAAATAAAAATATTTAAAATGCATCAGCTAGGAACTGGAGTGATGCATCAGCTGTTAGGTGCTCATGTTCTTCTCACAAAGAACCTGAGTTTGGTTCCTGGCACCCACATTAGGTAGTTCACAACCACTAGGAAATGCAGATCCAGGGGCCTCTATGGATACCTGCACTCATGTGCATGGAGGGTCACAAGCACAACACACTCACATACTTTTACTTTAAAATTAAAAAAAAAAAAAAAACTTTAAAAAATTCAACAGGCACATGAACTGTGAACCAATAGCTGAGGAGCCCCCATGGTACTGGACTAGGAACTCTGGATAAGTGAGATAGTTATTTAGCTTGAACTGTTTAGGGGGCCCCAGGCAGTGAGACAGGGACCTGTGCTTAGTGCATGAGCCAGCTTTTTGGAACCTAGTGCCTATGCTGAGACACTTTGCTCAGCCTTGGTGCAGGGAGGAGGGGCTTGGACCTGCCTCAACTGAGTGTACCAGGCTTTACTGACTCCCCAGGGGAGACCTTGCCTTGGAGGGGGTGGGAATGGAGGGTGGATTGGAGGGGAAGGCTGGGGGGGGTGGGAAGAGGGAGGACAGGGGAATTCGTGGCTGATATGCAGAACAAATAGAAAATCTCTTAATAAAAAAATTTTTAAAAGAAATTCAGAAAAGAAACTCACTAAAAGTTACTAAGTGTATAAGTTTGAAAGACATCATAAGATAGTTTTCTGTTGGTAATACAAGTTAGGATAGAAAGTTAATTAGGTATATTTTGGACTCACCAAAATTGAATAGATAATGGAGTATTTTCTCTGAATCTGTCAAATGCAAATGAACTAGACATTGCTGATGTATTTATTGCTTGTATATTGTATATAGTTATTGTACTTATTGTATATAGTTTTTCTTATATTAGCTATAACTTTTTCATTTTTATTAGACAAAAAATGGGAAAATATGATGATATTTTATTTGTGCTGAAATGTGGTGATATTTTATTTGTATGTTAATAAATAAAGTTTGCCTGGAGATCAGAGGAAATAGCAAGCCATTAACACAAAAGTCAGGCAGTGGTAGCACACACTCTTAATCTGATCACATGGCAGGCAGGGTCTCTGTGTGTTCAAGGACACACTGGGAACAGCCAAGCGTGGTGACACACACCTTTAATTCCAGTACCAACCATAGAGACCTGGAGGTCTCTACAGACAGGCAGTGACAAGAAAGTGAAGTAGCTGGCTAAGAGCCAATGAGAGGGCAGAACAGCAAAGCAATAAAGGCGTGGGTAAGACAGGAAGTAACCCCTTTTGGTAGATGCAGAGCTGGAGAGGTAAGGTTAGTGGCTCTCACTATTTCCCTGATCTCTAAGGCATTCATCCCTAAAAACAAAAACAAACAAACAAAATATCAACAGGAACAAATAACACTAAGGATGTTTGAAAGAGCCTTAAGGAATCCTTATTTTATATTTTCCTAAAATACGTATATAAGTATATGTATACACACATACATACATACACAAATGAAGTTATACCACTTGGACTGCCAATACTCCCCACCAGAGTCATAGACTATCTAACAACAACCCCAGTACTAGGCATGAGAAATCTTTTTCCCAGTTGTTGGTCAGGGGAGACCAAGAGACTCCCATAACAGTATAGGCTATTGTTGTTGCCATTGGTTGCTTCCCAGAGGTCAGAAGTAAGTCTCTATCGCTGAAGACACCACACACATCAGACACAGGACTCAGAAGATTCTAGCTGGAATTGACCTGAAAGCCTACTTCACGAGGTATAGCTTTCCTAGTAACACTTTCCAGAAAGTGTTATGCAAGCCAACAAGGGAGAGAAGCAATCAATAGTCCTACCGAGCCAAGATGCCTGTGAACTATAGCAACGAGTATCAGGGCAATATAACCCTAATAATGCAATAGTGGCAGTTTCATCTTGGTTGTAAACAACAGCTGTTTAATTGGACTTAAGACCAACAAGAAGATCAAAATCATTCTTGGTACTAGAAACCTAGCCAGCTACCTCAGACTGTTGAGGTCATGGATCTTAGAGGAGAAGCTGCTGCTGCCACCTCCTTAAAGCAATGTAAGTTCCAACTGCATTCTAAAACATCTTTATACCCACAAATAAGTCACGCTCTCACTCCTCATCAAAGAACCTTGTCTTTACAACAGATGGAGACTATTACAGGAAACAACTGATCAAATGCAGAGATCAATGGCTAGTGGGGTGCATAGCCACAACAGATATGACTACAACACAACTCTTGAATCTAAGCCTCAGGGAACATCAAGGAAGAGGGGACATGTAATAGTTTGAAAGAAAATGCCCCCTAAATAGAGTGGCACTCTTAAGAGATGTGGCTTTGTTGAGTAGGTATGGCCTTGTTGGAGGAAGTGTGTCACTGTGGGGGTGGCTTTGAGGTCTCCTATGCTCAAGCTATACCCAGTGACACAGTTCACTTCCTGTTGCCTGCAGATCAAGATGTAGAACTCTTATCTCGTCCTCCAGCACCATGTCTGCCTGCCTGCATGCTGCTATGTCTTGCCATGATGATAATGGACTAAACTCCTGAAACTATAAGCCACCCCAATTAAATGTTTTCCTTTATCAGAGTTACTGTGGTCATAGTGCCTCTTCACAGTGATAGAAACCCTAAGACAGGATGGAAAGATTTTCTGGATCAGGAAGTCAGCTTTAGAGTGTATCTTCTAGAAATGATAGAAGCTTTAGCCATGATACTTCAATAATATGTCTGCCTAAACTAAACAAGACATAAATAATGACAATACCAATTGACAACCTTATTCAGGTCTTGTTTATGAGAAATTTCACATGGCCCCACCCTTACTATAGACAGCTAATGACTGCTGGGAGAGAGAGAATTAGTTTTTTGAGGAGATAAGCCTTCTAATTGGCTATCAATAACAAGTGGTTATCCTTGAAATCATATACAGATTACCATCACTAAACAGACTCAGCAGGTTGTATTTATACACACACACACACACACACACACACACACACACACACACACACACACTCATCAATCAGGCACATGATACAGGATGGTGATATGGGAGAAGGACAGAGACAGAGTGAGTTATGTTCAAGAGGGAGAGACAGATTTGAAGAGGCAAGGGCTGTGAGGAATGGGCTGACGTAGATGCTCTACTGCCACCCAGGGCCAGATGTCTGGGTCTGGGCTCCTACCAAGGACTATGACTTGGTCCATTACCCTGATGAAGGCACAGAGAATAGGGCTACACAGAGTTAGCCCCAACCCCACCAGCTGAAGCACTCAGGAGAGTGAGTCCTACACCTCACCTGGACAGCACAATAGAGCTGACCTTGTTTGCAGGGACATGGGTGAGCTGGCCCTGAGGGCGTGAGAATGGGAGAGGACATCATGCCCCTCTCATCTGCCATATGATTGTGTGGGCAAGGGAAAGGATGCCTTCCTCCCCTTTCCCCTCAATACCTGCAGCACATGGGGGCCTGACCCAACCTGTCACCAGCTGCAGCCCTTGGGAGAACTGAGCCCTCTGCCTTGCCTGGGCAACATAGTAGAGTTGACCCTGCAGACTGTGTGAGCCGGCCCTGAGGGCATAAGAAGGGCATAGCTGGTACCACCTCTTTCATCTGCTGTGTGGTAGTGGGTGGGAGGGAAAGATGCCTTCCTCCTTTGCCCCTAATACTTCCAGCTGAAGAGGGATCTGACCCCTTTACCAGCTGCAATACTCAGGAAAGCAGGCCCTATACCTCATCTGAGCAGCACAATAGAGCTGGTTCTGAAGGTGTAGATGTGGGAGAAATGACCCTGAGGACCTGAA